TCAGCATTCTCCTGCTGATGTAGTTCTATCAAATACTTCTAAACCTTCGTGTAGATTAAAAATAATAACAGAAATACTAGGGGCTCTTCCTACTTGTTATTTCCATAAAATCTATTGAATAGTGGCTTAATTCCTAGTTCTGTGAGGTCTTAACTTTAGCTTTGTGCATGTACTGTAAATGCTATTATTTTATCCCAGTATATTTTGAATACATGCTCAATTAGAGACATTAAACAGTGCTTTAGCTGTAATAGTTTGTTGAATTTGTGCTTCCTAGAGTGTAAATTTTATTCTTAATGGAGGGTAACCACTCTGTTTTGTCAATCTGTCATCAATTCTTCAACACTGTAGGGTGTACGTGCAACCTTGTGTTCAAGGAATTCTATATGCAGCTCCCATATTGTTTGTTGTTCAAAAACCAGCGCCTAAGAACCAAAATCTGTATGTTAACTGTTACTTAACTCATAATGGCTGAAGTATTTTCCAGAATTGTCCTGCTAGCAGAGAGCTGCTGTTCATGAATGCTTAGAGATATCCAGAATAAGATAGTTACGGACTTCGCAAACAGCTTTTCTTCAGTGTTGACTGTGCTGCTAAGTCCTTAGATGATATGTTAAAAATAATTCACCCATCCCAAATGCATTTTTGTGCTTAAAAGAAAGCCTGATATTTAGTTGTGGGCACAGTCTACTTATAAAAACTTCAGTTTGTTGTTGTGAATCTTGCAGTTACATGCACAGAATGGATTCTGTTGTCTGCACACACATAACACCTTTATTCTCTTTCCTTGCCATCTCTTTGTATGATCATTGTATACCAAGGCAGGGGGCCTTGGGAGTTATTGACAGCTATTTGCTGTGTAAGAAAAGCCTTTACAGCACAGCACAAAACTCCAGCTAGGCACATCTGAGTCACTTTATAAAATTGTATTGGGTGGTAGAATTTCACAAATGGAAAAATAATAGTCTTGTTCTTCCCCCACAAATGCACACGCGCAGCCCTACCTCTAATGTTTGCTAATTGGATTAAGTACTGGTCCTGTTGTGTGCTCGGACTGTACAAGCAGCTCGTAAATTATGGAGTAAAAACGTGTGGCCTATAAATACGTGGTAACGAGCAGTGCTCGTGCATCCTGGGCTATAGCGATAGACACGGTGGGGATTTAGTGAGTCACCAGCATTCCTGAGCTCACAGGAGAGGTTTACACACAGACCTGGGTTTCCTGCCTTCGAGCTACGTACATGTCGCCCTTCCCAGGAGCCACGGGTTTGGTTTAAGTTAATGCACTGACACAGTTTGCTATCCCAATAAAATAGTGGCACCAGGTTACAGCTGTGCCTGACACCCTGCAGCTTTCCTGATTGCTTTTCTAAAAACTGTAATTCCCTAATCCTGCAAAAGCAGCGATATTGGTAGAAAAAGATGTTGTGAAATGGAGTGGAAGAAAGGAATAGATTCAACTCAAGGTTAAGTGAGCACCTTAGTGCTGTGAGATCCCACTATCCATGTAGACCTTGCATGATAAAGGCTAGTTTTGTAATAATGCAAGAAACCCAGGGAGCCTTTGCATTCTGTGGCAGTTATCCAGCATGGCTAGTAACATGCTTCATTCTCTGCCTGCTATTCCAGCCTCTGAAGTGAAGGTAATGCTCCTGTTCCATCTGTTTGCAGAACAAGCTCTGGAATGTGAGGGGTTCACTTCCACAAGCAGGTCAGTACTTCCAAGTTGTGTTGGTATCATGGTTGTGCATGGGAAACTAGGGTTGTGAAAAATTAATCCTCTCTTAGAAATTGTGTTGCTAAACTAATGTCTAGTAGAGATACCACCCTAGTGTCTTTCTATCCCTGTACTGCTATGAAAATGAATATTTATTTGCAAACATGGAAGGAAACCATTAGCATTCTTTCAAATCAAAATATAATCACATCTTTCTGATTTCGAAGATTCTCTCTCAGCAAATTTCATTAATTATCCCAGACAGGTGTTTTTCAACAAAAGCTCCTTCTTGTGCTGTCCCTTCTCTAGCCTCCTACTTGAGCTAATGAAGCTTCAGCGACGTCTCTGCAACAATGGAGCAATTTATATAACTACAGGTTAGAGAGAACGAATAAGGAATCGTAATTGAGGAAGGGTGTTGGAGAAAGGCAGCGGGAGCAAAGTTCTCCTGTGTGTGTAAAGAGATATCTCATTATTGGTGATTAGGGAGGAAGCATTGCAGAGCCAGAAGGAAAGTAGCTGTGCTGAAAAATGTTCTTTCATAGCGTATTGATATGCACTCACTGCTCTAGGAAAGGACCAGAGACCTGGTAACTCTAATTGCTGCCTTTGCATCCTCCAGTTTATGGAGTGTAGGTTTGTGTTAAGGGAACTGCCATTCCCTGCAAACATGACTTATGGTAAGTTACTTAGTCTGATTCTTTAAAAAACCTCTCGATACAATTTTCAGCTGCATTTACTTTGTTTACTAGCACTCCATGTATAAACTGGATACTTCTGCCTGGAAATAACTCTCTTCTTCCTCTGTGCCTATGGGCTTCTGCAAGTACCTGATGCATTTGCTTGACTATGGCAAGCCTTTTTACATATTTTTTGAAAACAGGACCTGATTGTGCAGTTTTCTGCCTGTAAGGTAGAAATGGGACATTTTTAACAGCTGTGGTTTCAAATATATGAGGGCAGACCATGCAGAATGGGACCTATTTCTATTTTGAAACCAATTTAGCATAGTTTTAATAGATGCTTGGCCTCTTCTGTATTTCTGAGACCTTGCCCTGGCCATTGGAAAATCATGTAGGATGGTTTCTTATTTTTAAGCTTAAAGGAAGATAATAAAATCCTTTTTTTCTGAATAATAAGAACGTGGAGAAGGTAATCATTGTTTAGTGCCAGACAGTAAAAAGAGAGACAATAATTCCTCCATCATTTTCCTTTAGAATAATGTAACTGCTGGCAGCTTTTCTATAACCCGAACAAATGATCTGGTGGTCCTATCTCTCTCTCTGAACAAATGGAAAGACTCACAGCTGGGAACTAGAAATTTGTTCGTATTGCTAATTTGTCTTTTTTAAGCAGACGAGTGCATTTTGAGCCCCAAGTAGAGTTAATGATAACATAACCTTTTCAGATCTAAACAGTGTGAAACATGTTCTGTGAAAGAACTAGTCTTGGAAAGAATTAAGGGCTTTGCTTTCACCAAATTAATGTTAATGGAGTTAATGTGCTATCAGGACTTGCTAATCAGTGGTAAGAGAAATCTAGCTGTCTGAGGAGCTTGCTGCGGGGTTGGCTGGTTGGGTTTTTTTCCAAACACAAAGACTTTAACTGTATCCTCAGACAAATCTGTAGGTGCTTGGCTTTTCAAATGGATGTGTAATTTCCAACAAAGTCCTATTTACTATAAAGGATTTGCAAGCATCATATGAAAATATTTTATTGAGGTTTTCAGAGGCTGAGTAGACATAAGCAAGGGTACAAGCAGGCTCACCAACGGGCACACTAGCTGCTCTTAGTACACTTCTATCACAGGGTATGATTTAACTTGTGTATAATGGTCTGAATGGCAACACTGAAATATCATATTCACTGAACAAGACATCATTTAAAACCTGACAATATTGATCTACTCAACAATAAAGTTCAAAAATATTGTTTCTTTTATTCCTAGCAACAGCCAAGAAACAGTTTGCTTACAACAACTAAGTGTAATTGGCAATCACGACATCCTAAGCTTTTGGGGATACTTTACAGTATTTGGGTTTCTATTTGGAAACGTATTTTTCAAACTTATGATTTTGAGTTCCCCGGTACAATACTGTTAGATATGAGCTTTTGCCATGGCAACTAAGTATGTATTTGTATTACGACAGCACTAAACAGTGGGAGTTACAGTTGTTGGCTTTATGATCATACTACATCTGTTCCCACAGAAATTAGAGGCTAAATAGGCTACTACGAAGTATAAAATGGGAAGCAGAGACAAAATGCCCAAGGTCTCATATTAAGACAGTGATGATAGAGCCCTGGTCTCTGGAAGCTGGCACTGCAGCTATGAAACTCGTTGACTGCTTGAAGAAAAAAGGATTTGATGCTTATGTTACTTGCTGACTCTCAGCATCTGTGAGTATCAGTGACTGCATTTTCTCTTGCTGGGCATCTCCAGCCTGGAAGTCCTTCCCATCGTGTTGCTCTTCTCCGTCCTCTCCGTTGCAAAGCCAGGCAAGCAGCAGACATCCTAAATGGGAAAGGCAGACGAGTCTGCTGCAGGACATGGGACCATGCTTGAGAGAAGAGGTAAGCTTTCCAAAGGAGGCAGGATTGCTAACAGTATACAGAAATCAAGATGATGATCAATAAATCAAGAAGAAGATCAAAAAGAATCAAGATATATTATCAGTTTTGAAGCAAGGATCAGGAAATACCACCAGGGTGCTTGAGGATGCTGGGACCTCCTAAGTCTGGCTGAAACTCCTGGGGACAAAGATTTACCCGTTTGGGGGCAAATACCAATTGCGCCATCTGCAACTGGGGTCTAGATTATGGTTGTAGTTGTAGCACTAATGACAAATGAGGTGGATTTTTTTCTTGAAAAGAAAGTTTGAAATTTTGCATCATTGCATGTCCATAAGTGTAAGAAAACTCTCTCAAAAACATCTGGTTTGAATGTAGACAACTTGTAGCTCGGTCCAATGTGTTCAAGTTAGATGTTTTTATTCTTTAGTTCTTACTAGTTTCGATTTTTGCTTGTTTTAACAAAATGCTGGTGCCTCTCTGGCTGCCTAGGTGGCAGCAGAGCTCTTCTGTGGCAGCTTCATGTAGCGGATGCAGATTTGGGGAGGGTGGGTAATGCCAAAAACTTACCCCTCCATTCTGTATGTTTTTTTTCTGTTGCTGATGGACTGGAAGAAATTAATATTGATCTCATTGCTGCCTTCTTCATATCCCGCAGACTCTTCCGAGGAAGCAAACTGCAGTACTTTGTCACACAGGCGAATGAAGAGGCTCTTCTCATCCGTACCCTGGGCTGGCTTCACTTCCAGCAGTTCTGAAGTGGGCTGTGAGGTTGAATCTTCAGCTTCTTTGGACAGAGGAGTTTCATAAAAGCTCTTCTGAAGCTGTAGTGACAGAGCGGGTACAGGATAGGGTTGACAGCAGAGTTGATCCACAGCAGCCAGAAGGAAGTTTCGTACCAGTAATCAGAGATGCAGTGGCCGTGGCAGCCCGCCCGGATGATCATGAGGAGAGTGTACGGTGCCCAGCAAACCCCAAAAATGCCCACAATTATTGCCAGCGATTTGGCCACTTTTTTGTCTCTGGAGAGCCTGAAGTGTTGAGTCATGCTCTGGGAGACGATCTTCATCCGCTTTTCGAAGGACGGAGTGGTTGATGAGTTTTTACAGCGTTTTTTGTGGTAATGCTTTGGTTTTCCGCAGCTCTCCGGGCTGGCTCTCAGCGCATCTTTTGCGCTCGGGCTGGAGGCTGATTCTTGTGCTTTGCTCTTGGAGAGGTCGAGGGTTTCAGCTGCCTCCTTCTGTTCCCACTTGCAGCATTTCAAAGAAAGCTTTTCTTCTGGGCTCGTTTCCATCTCTTCGGCAAAGGACTGCTGGTGTACTTTGTGGAAAATATCCAGGCGTATTTTGGTACGCTTCTGTATGTTCAGGTAAATGCTCAGGTTGAAAAACATTACACTGATGAAAGGGGTGAAAAACTCCAATGTAGAGGCTGTCATGAGAAAATACCAGTTGTAGAAAAATTCAGCATAGCATTCCCCAGTGGGTATGGTGCTCTGACCCGATATGTATTCCCAGCTGATAATGGCAGGTCCGTAGAGCAGGAAGGCCAGCACCCAGACCATCACCATCTTCAGCACGGCTTGCTTCGTGTTGCCTTGCTGGGCTCTGTAGGCGACCTGCAAGGGGGACATCTTTTCTCAGGAGTGATCACGCCGGCCAACCGGTCGAGGCTCCTCTGAGAGGAACCATTGGCCTTTCTGGGAAAGTTGCTAGGCAATAGCCCAGCAGTGCAACAGATTTGTATGCCATAGGCAACGGGAGCAATTGCTAGATAAATCACACTCCTGCAGGGAAGACTTAGAACCCCCATCTTGCAGCTCCAAAAACAAACTTGGCTTTTTTCAGTGGAAATGTACTGGCTTGGATGGAGCTCGGCAGCCCCTTCCCTGAGCGGTCCCCAGCTGCTCCCTGTGCCTCCTGGGCATCAACCTGGGGCAGAGACTTTGCTCAGGTTCTCTGAACTTGGGCTCGTTGTAGCTAGTCTGTATCATACCTGGAACTGGGGGGAAACAACATGCAATGGATCTGAGCTGCTTCCTGCAAAATGCTGAATATTTTTGTCTTCCACCATAGTGCCTAAACACCTTAGGCAGCACCCGGGAGAAGTGGAACTGAGATGGACTGCTCTGGTAGACAAGGAGAAGCCAAGGCTCCTATTGCAACCCCCTTGTTTCTCCTGGAGATAACCAGCCCCTGGAAGTTGGTAATAGGTCTGCTTAGCTCACTGACTCACTTGGATATTATCTTCCTGGCGTCTGAGAAGGGAACACCTGCACAATGGGGTTTGAACCTTAAATGATTTAATTGTGCCAGAAATGCTAGTCTGAAACTAAAGCTGAATTATGTATTTGTGGGTAATTATTGCTTTCCATCAGTAGGCTGAAAGATTCATAATTTTGGAGGATTCAAAAGGCTTTTAATTATTGCAACGAATCTGGAGAATAAAGCAAGGGGAAAATATTCCCCTCTCAGCTGCCAGGGCAGGACTCACCGCTCTTGTCACAGAGAGAAATCTGTCATAGCTAATCAGTACAATGTTGAAGACCGAGGAGGTGCAGAGCAGGTAATCAACTACGAGCCACAGTTTGCAAAGGCTTCTGCTGAAGATCCATCTCCCTGTCAGCACATAGGGCACGTACAAGGGGATGCAGAAGGCACCTGCAACCAGAAAGACAGGGGTCTGCACGGGGCTGGGGCTGGGGGACCCGCAGCCAGCGTGTCCCCCACCTCCCCACAGCTCCAGCCCCCGGCTCGGGGGAGCAGCCCGGGGCTGCTGCTCGGAGCTGCAGGGCTCTGGGCACGGTGCTTTGCCGTGTCCTGGTCCCGTGCAGCCTGCACGTGCCCTGCTGTCCCAGGGCCGGGAGTCGTGCAGGGGCTTGAGCCTCGGCTGCTGCTGGAGGGGCTGCCGGGGCTGTCGGGGAGGTGTCGGTGCCGGGATCCCGGCGCTGTCGGTGCAGGGCACGGGGAGATGTCGGTGCAGGGCACGGGGAGGTGTCGGTGCAGGGATCCCGGCGCTGTCGGTGCAGGGATCCCGGGGCTGTCGGTGCAGGGATCCCGGGGCTGTCGGTGCAGGGCACGGGGAGGTGTCGGTGCAGGGATCCCGGCGCTGTCGGTGCAGGGCACGGGGAGCTGTTGGGGCAGGGATCCCGGCGCTGCCGGG